TCCAATAATTATTTTTAAATACGTATTTCAAAATATATCAATGCAATATTATATAGGAGATGTTCATGCATAGGTAAATAAATGTTGAATTTGTTTATTTAAATTTGTAATTTAAAGTATAAAAATGCAATATAATATATTAGAGATTGATTATAATTGTCACTAAAATAAATGTTTGCAACTTTGTAATAACGCTAGTCTAAATACTTAGTTTTAAAGCGATAGTCTAAATAAATGTTACTTTTGGTTTAAATTTCTCTAACTCTTCTTAATTCTCTTTTGGGTAGCATTGTCATTGTTTTCATCTTCAGTACATGTCCTCTTTTTTTTTTTCTTAATATTTTTATTAGTAGTGTATCATGTGCAATTAGGTTACTAGTGGCAGCATAGAGAGATTCATCATACAATGAGATTATGGTGTAAGAAGCTTTAGATTTGCCTTGTTGTGTATATGACTAAAATTTTAGTTGTAATATGAATTTTTTATCTTACAAACACTTATAGGACGAAATTGAGAAAAACCACTATAGTCGAAGACGATTTTGGGTATTAACTCAATTAAATTATATTCTTTAAATCATCAAAATATTCGATATCATATATTATGGTAATATTTCGATTAATCGGTAATCATTAAACCGTTCATATTACATTCGATTACATTGGAGACCGTTATATTTATTTTGGTATGTATATCCCAATATAGAAGTTCACTATTTTATAAGAAACATTTAGTTTGGTCAACAAAATAAACCCAAATCAACTACACCAGGATAAATCACATCTTTTCTTTCACATAAAAATAATGTAAAATTTTATCTTGTTTAGCTATATGTAACTCCATGGTATACGTAAGAAAATAATGAAAATATTAATATGAACAAAATCATATATCAAATATTATGGGGTAGTGGGTATTGTTGCAAAGGACTGGAATTCGAATTAATTATAATCTTATTACAGATTTTCTTTTTAAAAGTTAAATTTAATTTAATGTGTTAAATGATCAAAATAATACATATTTATAACGATATGATGTATTATATAGTAATATTTTATGTAATTTGTAATCATTACAACGTCGAAATTATATTCTCGATCGGTTCCATGTCCTGACAGGGTCCACCTTAAAAAAGATTGTTTTTTTATAAAAATCTAGCATATTTATAACCATGCATGAACAATCTTTGTAAAATGTATAATATGCTCTAAGAAAATATTACTACCATTGAAAGTCTCTAAAATACATGAGTAAATGACAGGGGGAGATAGGGGTAGAATTGAAGGGTATATATATTTCTATATGAGTGATTATATATAAGTAAGAAAAGTGAATATAAAAGGGTATGTGAAATTAGAAATAAATTAACTTATCATTGTAGGTATAATTTTATTAAATCAATTTAATATGCTAATTTGTTAAATTCCACATCCAAGTCTCAAGTCTCACTTGAATTTTTAATATGTGACTTCATCCTAAAGTATCCTTAGTATGTCAAATCCAATGGACTTGGATATAATCTCAAGAATTATATATTTTTTTTAAATAAGAATTATACATTTTGTTGCAAATGATTTGGTGTGCGATTGATTTGATATATATAATTCTTCCAGATGTAATTTGCTTTTATAAGAGTAATGGTTTATTGAGAACGTTATGAGTTTGAAGTGTTTAGAATGGTGACAATAAATTTGAAGTAATTGTGAATTTAAAATAATATTTAAAGTGGTGAGACTTGAGAGTGTTAAAAACTGTATATAAGTACAAGTGACGACAATGCGGATGTATATAATGACATTACATTAATATAATCAAAAGCTAGCCATAATTAACTTAATTACTATTTGTCATATGTATATACTCGTTATTTAGGTTGTCAGATTTGTAGAATTATTTCTAATCTAGGCAATTTGTTTGACCAGTCATTGAATGTATTAATTGATAGGGAGTAATCTAATTACTCTTGAAAAAATGTACAATGACATGTGACAATAGTGCGGATATAATGATAATACAGTAATCAAAAGCTAGCCATAATTATGTTACTATATGTCATATGTATATACTCGCTAATTAGGTTGTCAGATTTATAGAATTATTTCTAATAATCTACCAATTTGTTTGACCAGTAGTCCATTGAACCTATTAATTGATTGGGAGTAATTTAATTACTCTTGAAAAAATGTACAATGACGTGTGACGATAGTGCGGATCTAATGACATTACAGTAATCAAATGTTATCCATAATTATGTTACTATTTGTCATATGTATATACTCATTATTTACGTTATCAGATTTGTTGAATTATTTCTAATCTAAGCAATTTGTTTGACCAATTCATTGAACAAATTAATAAAATCTTGTTACAAATTTACCTTTTTAAAATTAAATTATATTCTTTAAATCGTCAAAAAGTTCGATATGATATATTATGGTAATATTTTAATTAATCGGTAATCATTAAACCGTTCATATTACATTCGATAAAACTAATAAAATTATTTCTCTTAATTAATTTATTGATACTGAATACTTTTTTTTTTAATAAAGACGTTGTAGAGACAATATAGCGAATATAAACAAATTGATAAATTTGAATGTAAAGAATTTTTATATTGGAGAAACATATATACAATATAACTAATGAAATTATTTCTGTTATTTAATTTAGTGATAATGAATAATTTTTTTTGAATAAAGGCAGACACATAATTCTAAATTAAAGAAATGCATATGTATTATGTTTTGTTGTAGTTACTAAATTATTATTTAATTTAATAAGAGTAAAATAGGCTAATAGAGTACTAATTATGCCAACTTTGATTGAGATCGGGTTCGAACCTAAGACCTTTCTTATTGAAATCAATGAGTAAGTTAACGGTGAATTAACAAAAATTAACGGAAAAGATAATGTTATAAATATAGTTAAGTGTGGACATTATGAGTTAATTATGGAGTTTTTTGATCTTTTGGTCCCACGACTATAGTGGCACAATCAGAATTGATCCACGACTTTCAAACCTTGCAATTTTAGTCCACGACTATTGTTTTTTTGGCAAAAATGGTCCTTCTTGCTACTTTTCCGTCAAAATTCCACCGGAGAAAAATTTCTTCATTTTTAGGAGGGCTAAAATGGCTAAATTTGCCTAGTACGAAAAGTGCAGAATATGCTTTTATATATACTGTATTGCAAACCTGGAGTATTGATGTTGTTATTGCAAGCGAAATGTCAAATTTAGCCATCTTCAAAAACGAAAAAATTTTCCTCCGGTGGCATTTTGACGGGAAAGTGGCTAGAAGGACCATTTTTGCCAAAAAAACAATAGTCGTGGACTAAAATTGCAAGGTTTAAAAGTCGTGGATCAATTCTGATAATGCCACTATAGTTGTGGGACCAAAAGTGCAAAAAACTCGTTAATTATGTAACTGATGTAACGGTCGCATTTATATCTACCATCATTACCTTCCGTTGCAAATGTATATTATATATGTATTGTTGTAATATTATTATATTATTACCATCTTGGTATAATTATAAATCTTGGTATAATTATAAAACGAAAAAAATATTATTATTACCATCTTTTAGAATTTATCATATTTTCTCGTGATCATCTGGACCAATAAAATTATTTATAGTTTATATTTTGTTGCTCCCCCTAAATATAATAATTTTCTTTACCTACACATATCAATATTATGGATATTTTGTAGGTATACATTTGCTAACTTGTCACTGAAACAAATCTTCTAGACAAATATTTAATCACTCTCCTAGAGTTCATGTGGATCATGGTATTTTATCATGAAAACTACATATGTTTTTATTTGTCCCTAGTATAATGACTTTATGTCAAAAGACATCAATATGAATATTTGTACCTTGATTTGCTATTCCTTATCTCATCTCATAACTTAACAGTCGCTATGACAAGCGAGAGCATAAAACCAGTAATAATTAGTATGATAATTAAGTTAATAATTATACACTTTCAAAAAAAAAAAAAAGTTAATAATTATACATATATTACAATATACAAATATAGTTTTTCAGCCCAAACTCAGGGTTATTTTAGTAAAGAATAAAGGTCAAATATGCCATCAAACTGCACCCGATAATGCAATTAGGCCGCCAACTTTTAAAAGCTACAGTACAATTGGGTCCCTGAACTAACCAATTCTATTCAATTAGTCCAATTTGAGGTTTATCAGGTGGTTAGCAGGTTACCCCAAATTTAAAATATTTTTAAAAAATTATTATTATTTAAAATAATTATTTAAGAAGATAACTTCTTCGTCTCCGGCCATGTAGACGAAGATAACTTTTCTTCGTCTCCGGCCATGTAGACGAAGATAACTTTTCTTCGTCTCCAGCCAGAGACGAAGAAGATTTCTTCGTCTCTGGCCATGGAGACGTCTCTATGGCCGGAGACGAAGAAACCTTCTACGCCTTAGGCGGAATCGATCGGTTTTTTTTTTTTTTGAAAAATTGTAAAAAATACCCTTTTATAATATGCCAATTATCAATGTCACTTCTGAATTATGAGTGGTGTGAATGTTGCCCTTCAATTATTAAAATGGTGCACATACAGCCCATCCCGTAACGGACCTGTGATTCCCCACCACATGACATTGCCCGGCATTGATCGTTGCACAAAATAGTGATTTGAAAGGCGAAGAATTCAAACGGCCTCTCAGTTCAGTTTATATATATATATATAATAAGAGGTAGTGTCTGTCGGTGTTGGTTCTACTTCAATTCGAACTTTCTCCATGGAAGCATCGTGTCAGCGGAGCTCTAATCCCATGGCTCAACAAGAACAGGAAGAGGAAGATGAATGGGTTTGAAACTAGTACCATTTGATTGTATTGTTGTTTTCTTTAGAAAAAGTCATATCTGTTGTAGCTAGATTATGATGATTCCATGTTTTTTTGGCAGATAAACAACATATACGTGAAGATAATTAAAACTGTGAGTGAGTTTACAGATGTATAAATTTGAAAGTGTCGAAGAACTCAAAAATTGTTTATTATAATCAATCAATTCAATTCAATCCAAAATTGAATCATTTATGATTGCAACAACAGGACCAACTACCTCGACCATTTACGTAACAAGCCCCACCAGGAAAGCCTGCTGAAATGCACTTAACGTCGCAATCATTAGGTGGGGTACTAGTGCTACACATCCCTATGCATACCGGTCCTGGCCCTAAAAGCACACGACCATCTTCCATAGCGTTCGCCATTGAACCTGTTCAAAATTTTCATCCACAAATTACAGTCAAAATGAAATTACAAAAATCAATAATAACTATGAAAATCAAATTGTCAGATTACCTGGGTTCAGAGTGAGAGCGAAGGATAACATAACAAGAACAATCTGAAAGCTTTTCATACTGTAAAGATTTTTCTTCTGCTAAATAAATACTGATAAGCCGGGTTTATGTGTGTTGGATATCTTAACAAATGTACAATATATATATACACGCAAATACACCCTCTCTCCTTGCCAAGATGGTAATAATAATATTTTCTTCCTTTTATAATTATACCAAGATTTATAATTATACCAAGATGGTAATTATATAATAATATTACAACAATACATATATATAATATACATTTGTAACGGAAGGTAATGATGGTAGATATAAATGCGACTGTTACATCAGTTACATAATCAACTCATAATGTTCACACTTAACTATATTTATAACATTATTTATAAAATCTTTCAATTTATCATAATTTAATTAAATTATGTTTTAATTTGTTTGGAAGGATTTATTACGATTTGTGAATCCTTTGAATACATAAATGACATTTGGAGAAAAAATTGTGATTTTTGGTGGTGATAATAATATTTTCTTCCTTTTATAATTATACCAAGAGTTATAATTATACCAAGATGGTAATAATAATATTTTCTTCCTTTTATAATTATACCAAGATTTATAATTATACCATGCATATCCTTTCTCTACACCCCTTTGAAATAATGATTTTACTTTAAGTAATGTAGAATTTGAAGATTGTTATCTTCATGGGGAGACATGAAATACATTCACTCGAGTCAATCACGTAGATTGGTCAATCCTGTATATTGGGTCTTAAAATGACTAATAATTATACTTTTTGCAGCATATATATATATATATATATATATATATATATACTATGTACTCTTTTTTTCACTAGGTTTTTCCCAATGGATTTTTCTATGTGGTTTTTAACGAGGTATGAGTATGATATATTAATGGGGAGAGTTGTATATAAATACTTAAATACACAACCCCAAAATCTTGAAGATTATGCCTTGAAGGCAAATACTTAAATAGACAAACTCCAAAATCCCGGGGCCTAGAAGGCTTATGACTGTACTCTTTTTCCCTTAAATAAGTTTTTCCCATGAGGTTTTCTTAAGTTAGGTTTTTAATGAGGCAATCAATACAATATATGAGTTTACAAATATCATGTACTCTTTTCTTCAACTAGGTTTTTCCCCGTGGTTTTCCTAGTGAAGTTTTTAACGAGGCATGGATGTATTTAAATATACTATCAGTATACCTTGTATTATTTTCTTGTTTAGCTTTATTCCCACAGGGTATTTCTAGCAAATTTTTAGCGAGGTAAGATCATGGTCAAATAATGTCCAATGGGAGTGTTATAAATGATATTAAGTGTGGACATTATTGTAATGGTTATAACATTTGTAACAACCAACATTATTATTATTATTATTATTATTATTATTATTATTATTATTATTATTATTATTATTATTATTATTATTATTATTATTGTTATTGTTATTGTTATTAATATTAGTATACTAGTTTTTTATGCGCATTGCGCGATTGGGATAATGCCCAATGCTTTTTTGTTAAATAAGTACTTTAAAGTATATTAAGGCAGGATTATATTGAAATTGTTCATGCATAGATAATTGAAGGTTGAATTTGCGTATTTAAATAGGTAATTCTTCTCCCAAAGGTTGAGTCCCCAACCCCAAGGGCCCCCCACACTCCTACCCGACAGAGCATTGTGGGAAGTTGTAAATCACGGTGACTCAATGATTCAGCAGACAGGGCCAAATGCTGATACGCACAAGGAATCTGCCCACTTTGGACATAATTCCTGCACTGCCGCCGCCGAGGTTCAAACCTTGGTCTCTTCTCCCAAATACTACCCACTAAACCATTGAGCTAAGCCCGTGCGAGTTAAATAGGTAATTCTAAATTTACAAATGCAAGATAATATAGTCAAGATTGATTATAATTGTCAATAAAATAATTGTATAGGTATAGTTGAAACCAAATACGGGACATAAGGGAGAACAAATAAAAATTAGGGCATAAAATATTAAATATATACTAATATTGTTTGAGGAGATTCCGACATTAGGATTTGTGGTTAAGTTCTATTAAGACATTAATATTAGAATTAGATTAATGGTGTAGTTATAATTCTATATTAGATTTTAATATTAAAATTAGACTAACGGTGAATTAACGGAAAAGTTAAATGGATAATCATATAATTAAGGATAAATTAGAAAATCTTAAAAGAAAAAAATTAAAACCTGAACAATATGAACCATTCATTTGATTTAATAATTTGGCGGTCATTTTTTCTACCCAATGTTAATAATTAAATAAATTCGCTGGTCAAATCCGCTAACGCTAACCGCTAACTGCTGATTATCAAACAAGGACATTGCGAGGTAGTTCTCACTTCAATTTGTTGTGTGATTTGAATACTCTCTTTGTCACAAAATCTCTCAAGTAGTTAATATGGTTGGCTTTATTAATTATATTTTTTTAATTTTTTTCATGGTATTAATAAAATACTTGGTAAATAAATATATAGCATTATTTTGTATTATAACTTTTATATTTAATTAGAAAAATAGTGCAAAAAAAAAAAGATAATAGATAATGTAGTGAATATAATCAATTGATGAATTTGAATGTAAAAATTTTTACATTTGAGAAAAATTAAGACAATATAACTAATGAAAATATTTCTTTTAATTAATTTATTGATAATTAATAATTTTTTTTCACTGAATAAAGACATTGTAAGGACAATGTAGCGAATATAATCAATTAATAAATTTGAATATAAAGAATTTTTATATTGAAGAAAAATAAAAACAATATAACTAATAAAATTATTTCTCTTATTTAATTTATTGATAATGAATAACTTTTTTTTTTTGAATAAAGGCATTGTGGACACATAATTCTAAATTAAAGAAATGCATATGTATTATTTTTTGTTGTAACTACTAAATTATTATTTATATAATTTAATAAGAGTAAAATAGAGTACTAATTATGCCAACTTTGATTGGGATGAGGTTCGAACCTAAGACTTTTTTTTTTATTGAAATCAATGAGTAAGTTAACGGTGAATTAACGGCAATTCTTAAAATTTTAACGGAATTAGTAACGGTGTGTGGGTATTTTAGGAAATTTTAGTGTGAAATTTAAATCTGATCAATCTTTTAATCAATCTGAGCCATTCATTTGATTAAAATCTGTGACCGCCATTTTTTCTACCCATTATAGGCCTAACTCTCTTGGGCTCTTATTAGTATAGTAGATTATATCATTGGGCTCTTCGATGCACAACCATTGCTTCGACACTGACAAGTTTGGAAGCCGATCGGAGCGTATTGCTGCATGGGTTGGTGCTGCTAAATAGGGAGGAAGGAGAAAACTTGTAAAAATTACAATTTTATCCCACTTTTGACAGTCAACAAACAGTCAATTTAACAAATGACTAAATTGGATAAAAATTACATAGTTAAGGACTTAATTGGGTAATAATGATAATCGATGACCAAATTCGTAATTATGACATAGTCGAATGACCATTTTGGTTATTAACTCTTGGTATAATTATAATAGGAAGAAAAATATTATTATTACCATTTGGCAAGGAGAGAGGGTGCAACATAGAGAGATTCATCATGCAATGAGATTATGGTGTAAGAAGCTTTAGATTTGCCTTACTGTGTATATGACTAAAATTTTAGTTGTAATATGAACTTTTTATCTTACAAACACTTATTGATATTTAGTAGTGGTAGTTTTTCCCTATATGTTTCATGTGTTGTGAGATGTGTGTCGTAGGTTATCATGTGAAAGTATTAAACAAAATATAAATATTTATTATATTTCGATAAAAACTTGGTAAATAAATATATATAACATGCTTTGTATTATAACTTTGATATTTAATTACGGAGTACAAGATAATGTAAAAAGAAGACAATGAACAATGTAGTGAATATAATAAATTAATAAATTTGAAGGTAAGAAATCTTTAAATTGTAGAAAATAACGATAATATAACTAATGAAATTATATTTTAATTTTTTTTAATGAATGAATTTTTTAAATAAGGCATTATAGAGATCTAATTCTAAATTAATTAAATGCATATGTATTATTTTTTGTTGTAACTACTAATTTATTTAATTTAATAAAAATAATAAAGTGTCGTACATACTTTTCCTCAACAATAATGAAATCAATGATTTTTTTAAAAAATTTCAATTCCTTGTTGAGACAAATTGTTTTGTGTGTTTATCCATGACAATTGCTACAATTGCTGTCAATAGAGGATGATAATAAATAATTCAAAATATATGGTTACAATAGATATTAATATAATGATATAGTAAAAATTAACTTACAAATTTCTTTAGAAGTTTTCATGCATTGATAAAATTTTGATGTGTAAACTTGTTCAATTGGAGCTAGTAGGATGTTAACATTGTCAATTATTTGGAAAATGATCCTACCGTTTTAGAGTCCATGTGTAATTATATTTATGATCAACAACATTGTAGTTAGGCCGCGCAGGTCTGACAATGATGTAAGAACAATTTTGTCCGATAAAAAAAATAATAGTATAATATTTGTAAAGTAATGTACAATTGTACCATTATAAAAAAAAATACGAAAAATATTAATACCATAATGACTTAAATCATTCCAATAATGCAAAAACATAATTAAAATATTAAGTTTTGTTCTAAATAATCAAAAGAAGATTAATTAAGCATAAAAAAAATAACATAACCTAAATTTGTTTTTTTTTTAAATAAAAAATTCAAGAAAAATCAAATGATTTTAAAGTAGTTCTTGATTTATAATTTTAGATGCTCAACATTGAATGCTATATATTTAGTCGGGCTAATTATTTGACCAAAGTTTATGTTAAATTTTATATTATATATATTTTTAATACATTTTAACATATTCATAATATATGTTTACCAATTATGCCAACTATAATTGGGATGGGGTTTGAACCTAAGACCTTTCTTATATAAATTAATGGGTATGTTAAGAATAAAAAAATAGTTAACGGAATATTCTGTTACTAAAGTTTATAATAACGGAATTTAGGGTTATTTA